ACAAATAAACTCTCATAAACCCGCCACCCCTGAAAACCGGACACCGGCCACTTTTCCAAGAACAAAAGTTAAGAAACATGGGAAATTTCCCCTCATCATACCGGCCACTTTTTGATTGCACGAAATTAACTGTCATTGGCCGGAGGGGTAATAATGACCGGCCGGAGGTGTGAAAAATAGCCTACCCACCAGAAGTCAGAGGTGTGAAAAAATGAAATGGCCTCAGAGGGTTTTCTATTGTTTAACTGTCTTGAAGGGGTAGTCATCTTGCCAGACTACATAAATGGCCGGTCTACGTTGTGTACATAAATAAGATTAACAAAAATTAAACGTGAATTAATAAAATATCAATCAACTAATAAATTTAAAACACAGAATGAGTCAACAAATTATCGCAGCCGTATTGTATCATCTTTTTAAATACACATAAGCGGGCTTAAAATTTGTTACAGTTACATAATGCTAAGAAAAAAAATACAAGTAAAATGTTAACTAAAATATACAATTTTTAATTAAAATAACCGAAGTATTGCTCAAAATATTTTAATTATTTACTTTTCACTGAAGTACATTTTTTTTCTAATGACGTAAGCGATACATAGATACATGCAGTATACTGTATAGAGTTCAGTTAAGGTAAAGGATCTGGTTTATTTCTTCGCATATGGTTAATAAAGTAACTTTCCATGTTTTTTCTCTTTTATTGTTCAATTTCTTTCTATAAAAATCAACATGTATGACGGATTTATTCTCACTAATATTAATTTATTTTTTTAGACCTTAAGAATACATTACGTTTCTGTCGATAATTAATAACATGTTGACAAATAATTATAACAGACACCAATTATATATTTTTCCTAGCATCTGTCACATATAAGTTCTGCAATTTTTTTTCCGAATGTTAGATTCTCAGGAAACCGGCCACCCCTCTAGTGCGTCCGTTTATTCAGTCCGGCAGCTGGCCGATTCTCAGCTATGTTAAGGACCTATATGGAAAATGTTACCTTTGCACCGTTTTGATATGCATTATTTCTTTTAAAACGTTTTTACAAAGCAACTGAATACTTGTAAAAAATGTAATATAGCTATCAATAATAGATAGGACTTGGCCGTAGGTATCACCAGTTATTTCGCAGGTATCAGCTGTTTGTCACGTGACTTGTGTAAAAATAGAATTGTTAAGCTGAATGTAGAAAATGGGGATAGTGCAAGGGCATACGCTTGTTTTTCAAGAAAAAAATTGATACACATTTAAAGAGGTTTATATCGTCTACCCAAAAAGTGCTGGGAGCTAGTCAGTGCTGTTTGCGAAGAACTTAAAATTTTGCCGTAAATGCTTATAATAGCTTAAAATTTCCACTTCGCTTTAATCCTGTTATAAATAAAATTAATGTTATGCAAACAAAGATCAGCTCCCAGCACTTTTCAAAATATATACTATATAAGCAATAAATGTTCCAAATTTCAGCTCAAACAAAATAGTCTATGCCCTTGCACTTTTGATGTAAATCACGAATACGCTCATCGTTTTAGCGATATTCTCTACATTCCTTATCCCTGTGCAGCTTCAATGCTATTGGATAAATTCATATTCTATACACATTGTTTTTAATAAATATTTTTCTTTTAGTTTTAATTATTAGGTTTAAAAATAAACAATGGTATCATATTAATTTAAGCATTCTTGTAATAATTAAAGCAGTGAATTTACTCCTCTGGATCACTTGTCCTGCGTCATGTTAAGGCTGATGACGTCATATTTTACTAAAGGCTTTCCTCTATTTCTCGACTGTATCGCTATTTAGTATTGCAATTTTACAAATTATTATAAATAATAAATTAAATAAATAAATTCAAGTTGTTATTAACGCATGATCATTTCGTTATTTAATTTTTGTGGCTTATTAAATTTCAATGACGTCACAATTAAACTTTTAATACGATGTGTAAGGAATGTGAACTCTGACCTTCCTTAACATAGCTGAGTTTAGAGAAGTTTTACTGTATTCATATCAGATCAAGATTGTAAGAGAAGTAGTGTTTTAAAGGAATTTCACAGAAAAATTTTATTTTTAGCAACCATGGCAACATCGTTAATCAAAATCAAAAACCAATACACAGAATTATGTATCTTAGTGTATTCTACTTGTGTGCCAAGTTATACTGAAATCATACCAAAACTGTAGAAGTAGCATTTTAAAGGAATTTCACAGTAAATTCTATTTTTAGTAACCACGGCAACACCGTTCATCGAAATCAACAAGAGGCCCATGGGCCTTATAGGTCACCTGAGCATTATGCAACAACTTTCCAGCCATTTAATTTGATTAATGTTTTAAGCAAGATGCTATGGCATTCACAATCTTGAAAGAGGCACAATTTGATCATCATAACAATACACTTAGCAGTTGCTTAGTTTGTTTACTTAATACACATAGGCAGGGTGGGGGAACAAAAAATGCATTTCAAGTAATCAGTAATATTCAGCATGATCAGTAATGCCCCAATCACACATGAACCCCTGACCCTTAGGCCTAGATCCACTCATTGCACAATTTTTGAGAAGGCACCCTTGCTTTTCAAAAATATTTGATTAATACCAAGGAGCAGATCTCAAACAATTCATCCAGTTTCAGTATATAAGTACATTCCCCCTATGGTACCCCTGACCCTGAGGCCTTGAAATTCACAATTCTAGAAGATTAGGGTCCTTGCTCATCATAACTACATAGGTAGTTCATCTGCTTAATACCCAAGAGCAGAGAAGAAAATTTTCAAAGATTTAATGTATTTTCACTATATAATCAATAGAGCCCCACCCTATCACTAGAACCCCTGACCCCAGGGCCATAAAATCAAAATTTTGGAAGAGGTATTCTTGCTCATCATAACTATGTACTTAGTTCATTTAATTCCTAGGAGCAGAAAAGAAATTTTTTCGAATAATTCATGTATTTCCATTATATAATCAATAGAGCCCCACCCTAAAACTAGAACCCCTGACCCCGGGGCCATAAATTTCACAATTTTGGTAAAGGCACTCTTGCACATCATAACTATGCACTTAGTTAGTTTATTTAACACACAAGAGCAGAGAAGAAGATTTTCAAAGAATTCATGAATTTTCACTATATGATCTATAGAGCCCCGCCCTAACACTAGAACCCCTGACCCCGGGGCCATGAATTTCACAATTTGGTAGAGGCACTCTTGCTCATCATAACTATGCACTTAGTTAGTTTATTTTATACCCAGGAGCAGAGAAGAAGATTTTCAAAGAATTAATGCATTTTCACTATATACTTATTTAGCCCCACCCTAGCACTAGAACCCCTGACTCCGGGGCCATAAATTTCACAATTTTGGTAGAAGCACTTTTGCTCATCATAACTATGCACTTAGTTAGTTTATTTAATACTCAGGAGCAGAGAAGAAGATTTTCAAAGAAATAATGCATTTTCACTATATAATCTATAGAGCCCGCCCTAACACTAGAACCCACGACCCTGGGGCCATAAAATTCACAATTTTGGTAAAGGCACTCTTGCTCATCATAACTCTGCTCTTAGTTAGTTTATTTTATACCCAGGAGCAGAGAAGAAGATTTTCAAAGAATTAATGCATTTTCACTATATACTTATTTAGTCCCCCCCTAGCACTAGAACCCCAGACCCCGGGGCCATAAATTTCACAATTTTGGTAGAGGCACTCTTGCTCATCATAACTATGCACTTAGTTAGTTTATTTAATACCCAGGAGCAGAGAAGAAGATTTTCAAAGAATTCATGAATTTTCACTATATAATCTATAGAGCCCCGCCCTAACACTAGAACCCCTGACCCTGGGGCCATAAAATTCACAATTTTTGTAGAGGCACTCTTGCTTATCATAACTATGCACTTAGTTAGTTTATTTAATACCCAGGAGCAGAGAAGAAGATTTTCAAAGAAATAATGCATTTTCACTATATACTTATTTAGCCCCCCCCCCCTAGCACTAGAACCCCTGACCCTGGGGCCATAAAATTCACAATTTTGGTAGAGGCACTCTTGCTCATCATAACTATGCACTTAGTTAGTTTATTTAATACCCAGGAGCAGGTTTTTAGAAGTTTTTCAAAGAATTCATGAATTTTCACTATATAATCTATAGAGCCCCGCCCTAACACCAGAACCCCTGACCCTGGTGCCATAAAATTCACAAATTTGGTAGAGGCACTCTTGCACATCATAACTATGCACTTAGTTAGTTTGTTTAATACCCAGGAGCAGAGAAGAAGATTTTCAAAGAAATAATGCATTTTCACTATATACTTATTTAGCCCAACCCTAGCACTAGAACCCCTGACCCTGGGGCCATAAATTTCACAATTTTGGTAGAGGACTCAATGCTGATTACAATCATGCAAACAGTTTATCTGCTTGATGTCCAGGAGTAAAGAAGAAGATTTTTAAAGATTGCATTAATTTTTAGTAGTTTTCGCCCCACCCCCCAGGCCCCAGGGGGGCAGGGACCATGAAATTCACAAATTTTGTTCCCCTTCACCCATAGATGCTTTGTGCCAAATTTGGTTAAAATTGGTTCAGTGGTTGCAGAGAAGAAGCTGAAAATGTTCAAATGTTAACGGACGACGCACACCGCACGACGCACGACGACGGACGAAAACAGATAGCAATAGGTCACCTGAGTTTACTCAGGTGACCTAAAAATCGATACACAGAATTATGTATCTTGTAATTCAAACATGATAACTATTGTTCAGTGACACACATTTTTCACATATAGGTAAAAGGTTAAGGGAGTAAAATATAGAATATAGATCTCTTTTAAATAATGTTTTCTCAGCATTTTAAAAGACGCTTCCTCTAAGGTCAAGAAAAAAAAAAAACTTGTAGTCAGCTAATGATGAATTCAAGGCATTGTATATCTTATCATATATAAGGTTGAAGATTTTTCATTCATCAATCCAGAATTCTCTTTCTGATTTAGAGATAAGAATGGCTGAGGCACAGTTGACATTCATGTAAGTTAATTTTTATGCCCCCGTAAACGAAGTTTCGGGGGTATATAGTTTTTGTCGTGTCTGTCTGTCTGTTTGTCCGCAAAAACTTTAACCTTGCCCATAACTTTTGATTTAGTGGAGCTATGACTTTCATATTTCATATGTGTATTCCTTGTGACAAGACCTTTCTTTGGGTACCACCAAATTTGACCTTTTGCCCTTGACCTTGGAGTTTGACCCATTTTCACATGAAAATATAAAAAATTTACTTTGGCCATATCTTTTGAACAGTAGACACCAGGACATTTATACTTCACATATGTAATGTTTGTTAAAAGACCTTTCACTGGATACCAACAACCTTGACCCTTTGGCCTTGACCTTGTAGATTTCCATACTTGTGAAAAAACTTTAACCTTGGCCATAACTTTTGAACAGTAAGGGATAGGGCTTTCATACTTCATATATGTAATCCTTGTGAGAAGACCCTTCATTGGATATTAAGATCTTTGACCCTTTGACCTTGACCTTTGAGCTTGACCTACTTTAAAAACAAACCTTGACCATAACTTTTAAAGAGTTAGAGCTAGTGCTTTCATACTTTACATATTTGATTCTTATGACAAGACTTTTCATTTGATAACAATAACTTTGACCCTTTGACATTGACCTTGGAGTTTGACCTACTTTTTAAAATTTTTTTTAAAAATTTTACTTTGGCCATATCTTTTGAACAGTAGACACCAGGACTTTTATACTTCACATATGTAATGTTTGTTAAAAGACCTTTCACTGGATACCAAAAACCTTGACCCTTTGACCTTGTAGATTTCCGTACTTGTGAAAAAGGGCTTTTATACTTCATATATGTAATCCTTGTGAAAAGACCCTTCATTGGAAATGAAGATCCTTAACCCTTTGACCTTGACCTCTGAGATTGACCTACTATAAAAAACAAGAGGCCCACAGGCCTTATAGGTCACCTGAGCATTATGCAACAACTTTCCAGTTATTGAATTTGATTCATGTTTTAAGCCAGATGCTATATGACATTCACAATTTTGAAAGAGGCACCATTGATCATCATAACAATACACTTAGCAGTTGCTTAGCTCGGTTACTGAATACCCATACACAGGGTAGGGGAACAAAAATGCATTCCAACTAATCAGTAGTGCCCCTAACACTGTGACATAAACCCCTGACCCTAGGTCCACACATTGCACAAATTTTAAAAAGGCACCCTTAATATAAAAAAATAAATGTTTTATAAATACAAAAGAGCAGATTTCAAACAATAAATTCATTTTCAGTATATAAGTAGAGCCCCCACCCCACCCCTGACCCTGGGGCCTTGAAATTCACAAGTCTGCAAGATTAGGGCCCTTTCTCATCATAACTATAAAGGTAGTTCATCTGCTTCATAACCAGAGACAGAGAATAACATTTTCAAGATTCAATGTATTTTCACTGTAAAATCAATAGAGCCCCGCCCCCCTAACACCAGAACCCCTGACCCTGGGGCCATAAAATTCATAATTTTAAAAGAGGCATTCTTGCTCATCATAACTATGTACTTAGTTTATTTAATTCCTAGGAGCAGTGAAGAAGATTTTCAAAGAATTCATGTATTTTCAATATATAATCAAAAGAGCCCCCCCCCCCCCTCCCCAACACCAGAACCCTTGATCCTGGGGCCATAAAATTCACAATTTTGGTAAAGGCACTCTTGCTCATCATAACTATGCACTTAATTAGTTTACTAAAAACCTAGGAGCAGAGAAGAAGATTTTCAAAGAATTCATGTATTTTCACTATATAATCAATAGAGCCCCCCCCCCACACCAGAACCCTGGACCCTGGGGCCATAAAATTCACAATTTTGGTTGAGGCACTCTTGTTCATCATAACTATTCACTTAGTTAGTTTACTAAATACCTAGGAGCAGAGAAGAAGATTTTCAAAGAATTCATGTATTTTCACTATATAATCAACAGAGCCCCCCCCCTCCCCAAAACCAGAACCCTTGACCCTGTGGCCATAAAATTCACAATTTTGGTTGAGGCACTCTTGTTCATCATAACTATGCACTTAGTTAGTTTACTAAATACCTAGGAGCAGAGTAGAAGATTTTCAAAGAATTCATGTATTTTCACTATATAATCAATAGAGCCCCCCCTCCCCAACACCAGAACCCTTGACCCTGGGACCATAAAATTCACAATTTTGTTTGAGGCACTCTTGTTCATCATAACTATGCACTTTGTTAGTTTATTTAATACCTACGAGCAGAGAAGAAGATTTTCAAAGATTCATGTATTTTTACTATATAATCTATAGAGCCTCACCCTAACACCAGAACCCTGGACCCTGGGGCCATAAAATTCACAATTTTGGTTGAGGCACTCTTGTTCATCATAACTATGCACTTAGTTAGTTTACTAAATACCTAGGAGGAGAGTAGAAGATTTTCAAAGAATTCATGTATTTTCACTATATAATCAATATAGCCCCATCCCCCCCCCTCCCCAACAACAGAACCCTTGACCCTGGGGCCATAAAATTCACAATTTTGGTTGAGGCACTCTTGCTCATCATATCTATGTACTTTGTTAGTTTATTTAATACCCAGGAGCAGAGAAGAAGATTTTCAAATAATTCATGTATTTTCACTATATAATCAATAGACCCCCCCCAACACCAGAACCCTTGACCTTGGGGCCATAAAATTCACAATTTTGGTTGAGGCACTCTTGCTCATCATAACTATGTACTTAGTTAGTTTATTCAATACCTAGGAGCAGAGTAGAAGATTTTCAAAGAATTCATGTATTTTCACTATATAATCAATAGACCCCCCCCCCAACACCAGAACCCTTGACCCTGGGGCCATAAAATTCACAATTTTGGTAGAGGCACTCTTGCTCATCATAACTATGCACTTAGTTAGTTTATTCAATACCTAGGAGCAGAGTAGAAGATTTTCAAAGAATTCATGTATTTTCACTATATATAATCAATAGAGCCCCACCCTCACACCAGAACCCCTGACCCTGGGGCCATAAAATTCACAATTTTGGTAGAGGCACTCTTGCTCATCATAACTATGTACTTAAATCATTTATTTAATACCCAGGAGTAGAGAAGAAGATTTTCAAAGAAATAATGCATTTTCACTATATACTTATTTAGCCCCGCCCTAGCACTAGAACCCCTGACCCCAGGGCCATGAATTTCACAATTTTGGTAGAGGACTCAATGCTGATTACAATCATGCAAACAGTTTGACTGCTTGATGTCCATGAGTAAAGAAGAAGATTTTTAAAGATTGCATTAATTTTAGTGGTTTTGGCCCCACCCCTCAGGCCCCAGGGGGGCAGGGATCATGAAATTCACAATTTTTGTTCCCATTCTCCCATAGATGCTTTGTGCCAAATTTGGTTGAAATTGGTTCAGTGGTTGCAGAGAAGAAGCTGAAAATGTTCAAATGTTAACACACGACGGACGACGAACGACGGACGACGACGGACGAAAACGGATAGCAATAGGTCACCTGAGTTTACTCAGGTGACCTAAAAACAAACTTGACCATAACTTTTAAAGACTTAGGGCTAGTTCCTTTCATACTTTACATATTTGATCCTTATGACAAGACTTTTCATTTGATAACAATAACATTGACCCTTTGACCTTGACCTTGGAGTTTGACCTACTTTTTAAGAAATTAAACGTTAACCATAACTTCTGAACGGTTAGGGCAAGGGCTTTTTAATGCTCTACATAAGTATTTTATGTGGCAAGATCTTTCATTTGATACTAATTACATTGACCTTTTGACCTTGACCTTGGAGATTTTTGTACTTATTAAAAACGTTTAACATTAGCTTACTTTCAAATTTCACAATTGTTTAATTGTTTTCCAGTTAGAATACCCTACTTTTGGTACCTATTAATTAAATTTGCATTTAATTAAAGCTTAATCTTTGCTATGTTGCCATACGGGGGCATCAGTGTTTTACAAACACATCTTGTTTTGTATTATTTTTTTTAATTGTATTTCTTAAAATTCTTTTTTTCATTATTTAGGCATTTAGAAAACTGAATAGCATGCATCTTATATGAATACAATTATTATTAAAACAAAGAGTAGACATTATTTTTTTTTATATATACATTTTTTTAAATCAAGGGACAGTTTGGAAAATAATGAACGTAAATGCAAGGGACCCACTCTGAAAGAACTGCTGCAGAAACCACCACTACTACCAAGAATGCAAATGTGTAAACCGAAGCAACAACCACCACCGATTCATCAAAAACAAGAAAACGTTTTCTCGGATCAAAAGGAAAATAGTTTTGAAAATTTCGTAGGGTTCGAGGAAGAATGGAAAAAACTACAGAGAGAACTCGATCTTCCTGATTTGGATGTCGAGTAAGTACTGAGTATAATAAAATCTTACGTTTTAATGCTATCAGCATCAATAAACGCTAAATTGTACTGACTTGAAAATTATTTATTAGTTTTGCTTTTAATTACATTGTATTGGCATTACAGATTTTTCCTAATTTTTGGTACAAAAGAAAAAGTATAGTTGTAACATCCATAGTATATTCAACATTTATGTTATGCATTTCTCAAAACTTTATAAATTCTTCAAGTTTCAAATACATTCATCAAAATTCAGAACAAACACCTGTATTTAAAAGGTATTCTTATCACTTGTTACTGTATGTGTAATCAGCATAAAAATTTTTTAAAATTAAATTCATTTTTTTTTCAAACGCTTCCTCTCTTTTTTAATAAAGATATTCCATGACTAAAAACTGTGTCGAGACCGGTGATACCCGTACTGCAGTATTAAAATCAACTACTCCAGAGGGGTACGTGATCAGGGAAAATCAGACTGCTACCTATAGAAGTCCACAATAAAATTACGATAGTTCGACAGCTACATGTAGCAATGGGTTTATTGACGTTGAAGACTCCATAATGACAGTTATAAAGGTATATGATAAGTAATTATGTTTATAAATTTGAAAAGTACACATATTATGGTTATTCGTCTGACTCATTTAATATTGAATCTTCATACTTCAAAAGAAGTAAATCATTTACTGAATTATTTAATATGAAAATGCAAGTAGACTTTGCGTTTTATTTTAAATGTAAATTAATTACGATCTTATATTTCAGACGACGTCATCTGAAAAGACGCATGGTAGAAAAGACACCAGTGCCACCCCATCCTCTCCATAAAGAGTTAGAAACATTAAAAGACTTTGAAAAGAAAATGAGAAACAATCTTGATGAAATTAACACTATTATAGGTTATATAGAGAGTTATTTTAAAAATCGTAGGGTGCAGTTTGTATCTCTCAATTGAGAGAGAGAATTCTGGATTCATGTAATTGTATGAAAAAAATGACTTAGTATGTATGAATAAATGTTCTCTCTCTCTCTCTCTCTCTCTCTCTCTCTCTCTAATCTTATTGTAAAGAAAAAAAAAGATAAATAGGTGATATAGTTATTTTAAAAATCACACGGTGTTGTTTGTATCTCTCATTTGAGAAAGAGAATTCTGGATTCATGTAATTGTATGAAGAAATAAACTCAGTATGTATGAATTAATGTTCTCTCTTTTTTTTTTTAAATCTTGTTGCAAGGCAAAAAAAAGAAAAAAGGTTCATTAAAAAGATCGTTATTAATAATATAAAAAAGTCTCTGATCAGTGTTCAAAGTACAATATATACACTGTCAAAGTGATACTTACCGTTTTTTTGTTCTTGTGGTTATTAGCATTCTCTTTGAGAAATGCTTTGCAAAATTACTCTTTTATACTACAAGTGACTTTTAATGTAGGTTAGTAGGTCTATCCCCAGTTGAAGAAAGCTTTGCTTTGACCTAAAAAAAACCCTAACATATACTGTTAATTGTGCTTCAGAATTGATACAGGCCTTAAATTTGACCGGCTGTCCTACATGACTTGACCTTCAATGGTCATGGTCATATTTGTCACTTGTAAACTTACCCTTGTTTTTTCATCCTTCTTTAAGTTGATTGGTCAAGGCCAGACCTAAAAAATAAGGTAATGATAACGATCTTCACGCAAGTTGCTAAGGTGAAGGTCACGACCTAGTCAGTGAAATTAGGTCAAGGTCGTGGCCTTCTTGGGTCACAACCTTGACTAGCGTGAAATTAGGTCAAGGTCATGACCTTCTTGGAATTAGGTCATGACCTTGACCTCATTTCCAAGGTGAAGGTCATGACCTTGACCTCATTTCCATGAGTGTATTGAGTGTACAGTATACCCCCTGCTGCTCATGTATCAATTCACATATAATTATATTTATCAAATCAAATATAATGATTGTAATCAAGTCTTTTTTATGATGTCTTAATTTAAAAATGAATTGTACTAATTATGAAATCCGTACAGGTGTGTCACAAGAAGTGTACTGGGAGACGATGAGAGGGAGAGGACTTGACCGTTGGATTTGCCAGGACTGTTCTCAAGATCAGCCTGTTCACGAAAGCACCAGACTGAGTTTATCCACAAATAGGACTGCACAGTAAGTTTAAATTTCCAATGTACAATATACATACATACTGATCTATATGTATAGTTTAATCTTGTGTTACTCAAGTTGAATATTCAAGTGTATTGGTCTATTCTGCTATCAATATTATTAATTACCGGCCGCCAGGAGGCGGTTGATTATATGATATGAAAGTTTTAAGTCGCTGTGCGTCAAAGGCCCCAGCAGAACTTGTAGAAACGACACTTTTATTGTCTACCCCTACAGAACAAACATGTACTTTTTACTTATGTTACTTATTTTAAACATTTTGAAAATTTGTATAATCTAAACCAACTGTTGTTATCAACAAGAAATGACAATGAGGATCTATTTATTACACATTTAACTTAATACACTGATTGTCTTGAGAGATTTGAAAAATCATGAAAGTTTTTTTTTGTTAAGCTATTTTTTTTAACAGTATCTGGATTGAATCGAATTAAAAAGTTCCTTGAATCAATGACCACGGAGGATGGGAAGACCATCTTGGAGAAAACCTGGGGTAATTTGGTTCATTATATTACCTTAGTTATATGTACTTTAATTTCTTTTTCAATATAAATTTGAGGTTTATTATGATGATTAAATGCTTGCCATACCTTTTCTCTTTTTTTCAGAAATCCCAGTTTGAGTTCTTCTTAGTGTTGGAGGAGGGGGAGGAGAGAAAGTTTACAACACATACTGCAACTTCATTTGCACGAACCTTTACCCCACTGATGAACATGAGAAAGGGACGCATAATAGTGGTATCCTCTGATGATACCTTCTCAAGGAAGAGGGGTGATATCTTTAAGGTGCCATCATAGGCAGTCATTACGACAAACTGCAATCACCAAATCAAGAGAGGGACCGTAATGAGTACCTGTCCACAATTTGTAAATCCTTTATATAAATGTTGAAACTGGAAACCCTACAAAACACATAACCAATTACAGAAGCATTTTAAAATATAATAAATCATGCTAGTTTTTGAATTGGTTTTGCAGAAAATGTTTTTGGAGCACTTATTTTTTGCTGTATAAAGCAGAAGCCAGACAAACAACTCTACATCTTTACAAAAACACATTGATCATTAAATTCCATAAACAAGAAAAACTTGTGAAGTGGGGCACAAACAGTATTTGTGAAGCCGGACACATAAGGCAACATATTAAACAAGAGGCCCATGGGCCACATCGCTCACCTGAGAAGCTTTGACCATTCTGTTTTTCACCGGAATTCCCCCTTGTTATAAATAATGCATCCCAACCCTACCCCACTGATCATTAATTTAGACATTTTGAAATCTATACTACCCAAAGATCCTTCCATGGGCAAATATGTTTCAGCTTTTTTTGCCCAGTGGTTCCTGAGAAGAAGATTTTCAAAGTTTTTTCCTATATATTCTATGTAAAACTATAATTCCCTATAATGGCCCCGCCCTTCCCCCGGGGGTCATGATGTGAACAATTTAGAATCTACACTATACCAGGATGCTTCCACATAAGTTTCAGCTTTTTTTGGCCCAGTGGTTCTTGAGAAAAAAAATTTTCAAAGATTTTTTCTATATATTTCTATGTTAAACTTTGATACCCAATTGTGGCCCGGTCCTTCCCCCGGGGGTCATTATTTGAACAATTTTAGAATCCACACTATATCAGGATGCTTCCACATAAGTTTCAGCTTTTTTTGCCCGGTGGTCCTTGAGGAGATTTTTCAAAGATTTTTCCTATATATTTCTATATAAAATTTTGATTCCCCATTGTGGCCCTGCCCTTCCCCTGGGGGTCTATATTCGAACAATTAAGAATTTACACTATACCAAGATGCTTCCACATAAGTTTCAGCTTTACTGGCCCAGTGGTTCTTGAGGGGATTTTTTAATGACCCCACCCTGTTTTTGTCTCTCCTTGTTTATCTCCCCTTCCGAGGGGATATGTCCCCTCATTTTAACAATTTAAATTCCCCTTCACCCAAGGATGCTTTCTAGCAAGATTGGTCAAAATTGGCCAAGTGGTTCTTGAAAAGAATTCGAAAATGTGAAAAGTTTACAGACGGACAGACAGACGGACGGACAGACGGACAAAATGTGATCAGAAAAGCACACTTGAGCCTTCGGCTCAGGTGAGCTAAAAACACACGCTGATCATTACAGTCCATACACAACAAAAACTTGTGAAGTCGGGCACATACAGTATTTGTGAAGCCGGATACATAAGACGACATGTTTAGTGTCTGAAAATGAAGAAGAATCCAGAAAAGAACCACAGTGCACAGGGGCAAGAAAAATCGTACCATCATGCATGAGTCTACAGGAAACACCGACAAAAATCCGACTACGAGAGAAACATCGGGTTGTGAAACTCTCATTTTGTGCGACTCCGTCATCTGCAGAATTCAGCCCCAGCAATTTTCACCAAGGGCAACATGCATTAAGCATTTCATAAGAGGAGGGGCTTTGTTAACACGTTCTACTTTCGTTTTCATTTAAAAACATGTGATTGATAGATCAACATAACGGATGTCCCAAATATTTGTACAGTATGTTCAAACTTATTCTTATTCTATTATGTTTGTCACACTATCTTCAATGTGATCTGCATTTGTATATAATTGGATGCTATATCGTTCTGTCTCGAATTATTTGCATCCCAACACATGTATGTACATGTAAATACTACAACCCAGTTATATATAGCGGTACTCTAATATCCGCTTTCCATACTATTTTTATAATGCATCTCCCAGTTTTTACGTGGGAATTGTGCGAGTTAACGTACTTCTTTTTTCAAATTTTATGTTTATTGTTTTGTGTTTTTTTACTTTCCATTTATCTTGAATTGACATATCTTATATATTGCCAAATAATTACAATTTCACTAAACCCCATCTCAGGGCGGCCCAAAAGCAAATCAAACTTTAGATATTGCATAGATAAAATTTTTGATAATGGGTAATTCTCTAGAACAACATCGTGCCGCAATTGGGGTTTTCTTTATCTATTGTTGTCTGGGGTGTTCCCGCATTCTCGAATTAATTTTGCTCAATTTGTGACTCGCGAGTTCTTTCGACTACACGGGGAGGGGTCTGTATAACACAGTTTTACCATATAAGGTCATCTTTAGAAATTTTACATTTTTCTGGAGGACCATCAATAACATTATAAACACCCTTAAAATCTTCACCCATACCAGCTGCACTGGTAGCTACTAAAATGTATGATTCCTTCAGCATTTTCTAAATCTAACCTAAAGTCCTCTTTGAAGGATTCTGGGGTCTTTGGATGAGATGATACGTTTATTAAAATTTTATTTCTTCATGTAGATTGAGTCTTAATAATGATACATCATGTCCACAGGCATTGTTAGATATGCAAAATATTACTGAAACATATCTATGTTACGTGAGATATTAATGTTGAGATAATAAAGTTTAACAGTATTTTGATGCACCTGCTGTTCAAATCTCAATCCGTATGTATTCTTGGATTGTTATAATCCATTGATACCTAAACTGTAAGCATGGGATGAATTTTGTCGTTGAGGTAAGAATTTTTTCTTCTTTTAGACTACTGGTAAATAATATTTTTTAAATGTATAATAGAAATACATTGAACATTTGTCAATTTGTTTTAAAAAAATAATTAACATGAGCATATATGAAATATTTTTAATAATACTTAGTTTGACTGTCGTTGATTAAAACTTTGAATGTCATTCTCCTCTTGTTGTCATTAATTCATTAATTTTAATTAGAAGGTGACAAAAAAGATCATAATTATTTAATTACATAATTGGCCTCAAGTTTGTTATAACTGTGAAATTTATAATTATATTTTATAGCCACAAAGAGAGTCGCCATATTCGGTTCCTCCTACGTGATGCGAGCTTTAAGCTTTACAAAATTTCCGATGTCATTTGAAGTCGTGTGGTTTAGTGGGATGACCCCTACTCAACCAAATATCACCTCAAGGATGTTAAGGTACATAATTGTAGTGTGCTAAAGGGGAAACAACATTTCCAGTGGAGTCAAGGTGTCTACAATTATTGACTGTCTGACAAGGCATTTCACCAAATTAAAGTCTTGAGTCCCAGCTGCAGGTGAGATAGAAGAAGTGTTATGTAAATCATGCCGTTTTCTAAGAATTGACGCGAATTATGCAGGTCATAAAAAAGGGCCAACAAAAAATATAAATGTTTAACAGTATGAATGGAAAACCAGCAATCAGCAGATGTACTTTATACAGGGTTATTTTTGCCCATTCACACTAGTAAAAAAATTTGCCCCGTTTTAAATTCGCCAACTCTTAGTTACATGTTTGTGAAAGAAAGATGACTCTGTTATGTCTAATTTCCTACAAAGATATACAACTCATTTTCTTCACATGCTGAAAAAATAGCTCTACTACATATGAACTGTGTGTGAGTAATACTCAAGCAATTATCTCCTCTGCTTATCTAAAAATCTATACATTACAACTATTTGATACTAGTACTAGTGGCAGAGTCTCTGTCGATTGAGGTTGGAATTGTTCAAATATTTAAGCAGAACACCGACAAGAAAATCGGAATTATTACCAGAAACTGATAAAACCTAATTTATTGTCATCTCTCAAGAGAGATGACACATTAAGTTTGATTTCCGGATGTGAGGTCCCAGTGTAAGCAGCCATTAAAAATCGGTAAGCCTCGGATGATTACGTTCGTGCGGGCAAGAACTATCCGAGGAGCACCGAGTGGTCACGTTGATGATGATGCGATTTTCTAAATATAGAGCGGTAAACAATGAGCGATCCGAACATTGAAAAAGAAAAAAGGCTGCACAGGAATCACAAAGGTCAAGACACACAATATCGCCTGCTGGTTGTTTACATGGTGTTCAAAATATATGTACTTATTTAATCATCTACATGTTTACATGTATGCTACTGCGTAAATGATCTATGGTCTGCACCAGATGGAATATTCTAACTAGGTCAGCGCGTTGAATCACAAATGATCTGCTGAGGCGTGGATCCAAGAATTAACAGAAAAACAACATCAAAGTTAATACATTTACATTTAGTACAATAAACAGGTCCAGCACAATACCTTGATAAAGGTATATAGCTTGTTAAAGCTATATAGCTTTATCAAGGTATTTAAAATACCTTAATCAAGGTATTTTGTGTGATGAAAATACAAAAAAAATTCTTTAAAAATGAAATTAAAAAATCGAATTATGAGTTGTTGTCAGTGTGTTCACTCGTGCATGAAAAGTACTCAGGTATTGAAAAGACAACCTGAAAGAACGTCTTCAGCCGCGCCGAACGTAAAAAAAGTATCATTCCAATTGAACAAGTCATCATCAGTGGTATAATTAAAGTTGGAACGCAGTCCCGATATGGTAAGTGAAATTTTTTATCATGTATATAATGAAAGAAAATATTAAACTAAAAGTTTGATAGCAAGACATGTTTTTCAACAGAAAATCATAAGTCAAAGCTGTGCATGTTCGGTCATAAATGACAGTTAAGTGTAAACAAATGTCCATATTGTTAATAAAAAAGTTTGACAGCACTCACAACTTTCTGCTTTGATTCCACAATGGCTCCTTTTTGTATCCAACCGGAAATTAAAAGCTAAAACTAAAAGCAGGAGGCGGAATCAGGCATCTCTTCATCTTCCAGGTCAAAATCTACGGAGACACAATGGCGTTAAAAATATCGTTATATTTGAATTGAAATAAATTGCATGACATATGGAAAGAGTTGTTCAAATATGTTTTCTTTAAAGGAAAAGAAGAAAAAAACTTTATAAATACAGGAAATGTTGATAAATAATAATTTTAAAATATATATTTTATAATTGAGTACGAAAAAATGATATAACAAATATCATTTATTAAATTATATGACTTTAATCAGGAAGTAAATCCAGGAAAAAATAAAAAAGGACAGGGAAAGAGGGGACGCTGTAGAAGTGGGAAAGCAAGTACAAATTACATAGATGATGACCAGAAGCGCAACAATTCAGTTTTTAAAAGAAAGAATACTCTGCTAAAAAAGGTAATATTCATTTTTTACCTTGAACGTCTCTGGCATCTTTCAAACTGTCTACCAGTTCTAACAGTTCCTTATAAAACTGAATGTAGAGCTTTTTTGTGCCAGTTTTAATATCTCTTTTCCATTGCAACGTCTTTTGTTCTCCTGTAGATACATCATTTCAAGAAATATAGAAATTTTTGAATATATGTGTTTGCATGATTGATATAAATATTTTATTTTTAATGTACCTGCATCATCATCTAGGTCCATTAGTTCATCTAACTGGTCCACAATCTTTCCTGAAATATCTGTTTTTGTTTTGTTCTCAATAGAGTTAAAATTTGTACGGTCAAGAGAAGTGAAAAATATAGGCACTAAAGAAACGGATGGTTTAAGAGAATTTTGCTTAGTTGTTTCCTGAAAGAAAGTGACACGATTAGTTTTGCATTTTTGGGAGAAATTGACAAGGTCATAGTCGAGAGGTTTGTTGGAAAGAGAAGTATGCTCCCTGGGTTCAAGGGGAGAAAGAAGATAGTCAGATTCACGAAGTTCTGCTCTCCACTGATATATTTCATTCAGAAGATCTGTATGGTATATGGAATCTTCACTGGTATCCCTAACTCCCAGTTGGTGTTTAATGTTCTTGCTGATCTGCAAGACAATTAATCTAGCTATTTTACACTAATAAAACGTAGATTATTTTTTTAAAGTTCATATTATTTTATGTATAAATTAATTAAATGTTGAAATTATTTTTGTATATCTTCAACCTTAAATTTATTGTAGGCAAAAGAGCTTCACAGCACTACACACTGTGAAATTCTTTTAGTAATTAAAACCCCTTCAGGAAAGGTCAACACCTTTACCACATCTCTCTTTGAAGAGGTAGGATAAAAATTGTATAACCTGGCAATAGAAAAAATTTAAATGCATATTTGTATTCATATATTTACATCTTTTTTAATATGTTTATTTTTGTTCAGGAACTGAGAAGCCTCATGGACCGCTCGAAAGGAAAACCTACTCCTCAACCTTCCTCAACTCCTTCTTCTATTCACTCTAAAACTATATCTCCTTGTCTTTTCACAACCCCCCTTACTACTCCATCACCCACTTCTACTGTCGTTCGCACATTTGACATATCCTCTCCTCCGCGCTCTTCTATTTCTTCACCACCCGCTACCTTTCCATCTCCCCAACCTACTCTTTCCACTGAAATAACTGTTCGAGCCGAGGTCCACACACCCCCTCCTTCCAAAAAACCCACCCCAACTCCAGCTATTCCACTTAAGAGAAGGAGGATCGATTCGTTAAAAAATAAGTCAACGCAGACAGAGGATATCAAGACAAAGATTCCAGACACATGTAATATTTGTCTCAGAAAAGAAGCGCGTGGCCATTGGGTTGGATGTGACAAAGCACGTTGTGGTTACTGGGTCCATGACCATTGTGTGGGATTTTTTTTTAATTCTAATATTCAGATAAAGAAAGCAAAATTCAAGTGTCCAGTGCATAGAAATTAAAAGTAAATATTTAAATACATGTATTTATTATTTTGTGTTAGTGTAACAAATAATAAATACTAACTTCTTCTAAATTGTCCAAATTTCTACAAGTCTGCTGCCAGTGCTTCTCTTTGGGAGCGCCGCTGGGTAACCAACTTTTTGCTTGTCTGTTTTTTGACTCTAATATGAAGTCAAGGCCTTCGCCTTTGCTTGGATGACCAGATTCTATAAATTTATGATTTGCTTCATGCAAAAAATACTAGTACTTCGTTAAGCACACAAGAAAAACATTTTTTTATCAAATGTGCATTAAAGATACAGTACGTGCTGTGATTTATTTTTTAAAGTGCTGTATAGTAAGACTCTTACGGGTAAATGTTTCATGTTGCTGCAGAAACTGATGGACCTCAAGAGGGGCACAAACTCTCATCATGAGATCAGTCATCTCAATCCTTTGATAATTAGTTTTGCCAGTGCCAAAATACAAAGACGAGAACTTAACCCTGCATGCCATAATCGCATCGCTGTTGTTGCGACGCACACCAGCACGAAAGAGATATACGGCAAGGGCATATGTAAATATGGCTTCCAGTAAGAACCTATTTAATAGTTAAATGAAAAAAAATATGTTATGAAATTTATTAAATGCAACACATTAATATTGCAAAGCCGATTTGGATAGAATCAAGGAAATTGAATCACTTGTAATTAGGATCCATTATATCCCGACACCAAACGAAAAATCCTTTAGCAGAGGGCTCTATCGTCCTGTCATGGCAGTGCCGTATGTATGGTTGCAATAATTCGTCTCCTGGATTTCCAAACATTAACGTTTTAACATAAAACAGAAAAAGTTGAATGTCAATTATTATGTTTATTATGTTTCATATTTGTACTGACCTGTGCCCAATAACAAAATTTCAATAAATTGCATGGCCTTGTGGTGATCGTTCGCTTGCAAACATGCTTGGAGGGCTTTTGGGGAACGGTAGCCAAGAAGTTTCGCCAGGTCTACGCCTATGACCTCCCAAAGAAGCTTGATGACAGCTGTTACAGTATATGATTACAGTAAAACACAGTAAAAATGATGATGATGAATTCATGAGTACAACATAATAAAATCAAATTATATTCATTATTTTTAAAATTATTTTAAGATTTCTTTTCTATGTAGTATGTATATATTTTAAAAACATTTTTAACCTATATGAATGTTATAAATAGTATTTATGTATGTATACCCTTTGCCATATTAATTTCAAAGTGTCCAAGACCGGGTTGAACCAGCAGATCTTGGAACTCTGGGTTGTCCTGCAGAACGCGTTGGCACAGCAGATAAGGCAGGCCATCGCAGCCGATGATGCTCCACTTTCGTCTTTCTGGTACACCTAATTCTGTTTTCAATTTCTCCAAAATAGACTTAATTGCATTAAAGGAACATGGGTTGACAGAAATTGGGTTACCCATATGTATATTTGGTGTGTTCTTATGATTATGCTCTAAAAATGAATAACAATCAACCTGGCAACGACTTTTATCAGAAAATTTGGTTTTTTTCTCATTTTTTAATAAAATGGAAATGGTGTCTTCTGGGTCGGTCAAACCAGGTCGACGTTGTGCTGCCAAAATCTGCAATCTGCCTTCAATATAATTTTCTCTGAGATATCTGAAATGGTCTTCATAATGATTAACAAGTGCCAAAACTTTCTGCATGGAGTCTGAAATAGAAGATTGGTAAAGCCAAAGTCGTGGTGAAAAAGAGTCATTGTTTTGTAAATTATAAGGAGGATTCAAGCTGAAATGCACAACTGTGGTGATGGTGCTCAGGATGGCTTTTGCGTCGTATCTTACCCGCCAGTTTCGTGCTAGAACTTGATTGTTATCAAAATATGTGATAATGTCATTATGAAATGGCACATCTATGGAACTTTGAGAATGTTGTTCTATCCAATTAAGTACAGACGAATAACTTCCTGAAGGGTGAGCACTTGAATATAAATTACAAACTGTCTTGCTGCTAGAAACATAATATGACAATAAATTCAAACTGAAAGAAAATGGTAAGATGGTATTTGTCATTGCAATGGAATACAAATGCTCAATGGCATAGACAACTTTTGTTTTCTCAGATGAAGACATGTTATCAAAATCTTTCCCACATAAAGATGTCACAAAAGAAGTCAACACAGCATCCCTGTCTTTCACCCAGCTGTCAATATCACAATGTTTAAGGAAGTCAACATCTTTGTATTGACCACATAAATTGTCATTAATATCTGTCTTGATCTTACCACTCTCCCGTTCTCCGATAGCACTGGCTATTTTCTGCAGGTTTGCATCTGAGATGTTATTAGTCTTAATCATGGTAACAACTTGATTAACAAATATGTCTTGTTCTTGTTGCACACTTGAAATGAAATTACTCTCTGCGTAGGCTGCACACGATGTACATATATAAACACATCTCTTGGTAATGCACCCATTGTCCATTAACAACTTAATAATTTTTGCTGCAATTTTATTACTTGCAATTTTGTGGACTTTATAGTCTTTGTCCTTAGAAAAGACGTCATGCTGCTTACAACTGCACTTTGGCATGATGTTTCTATATAAATAAAATTAAAAAAAAGAATAGATAGAAACACCCCCCTTTTTTGCCAAAAACGATCAAATTAATTTAGAAAAAATATTTTAGACTTTTCATATGCTATCATATTAGAAATATATATATTTAAAAAAGATAATGGTAAACTTCTCCTTAATATAATCATAAATTACACTGCACTTTATTTTGCTATATTTATTATCAAAATAGGTTTCCATACTTTCAGAAAAGATAACGGAAACTTTACCGCTATTCGTATTTCCTCAGCATTTAGATGTGCAGCAGCATATCCGGTTTTACCAAAGGGAAGGAGGTCGCACAGAAAGCATCTTAAGAGGTAGCATTTTCACAAAAATAAGTCCATAAAACTCTGTTATATACACATCCGCATGTCCTCATCAGTTGGCAGGAGATTTTCAACTACTCAGTTGCTCACAGGACATGCTTTTATACTGATTTCTTTGTGTATGAGTATTTTACATGCACGAGTGAATTTGATGACAACAACTCAGAACTCGACTTTCAGTATTTATTTTTCGTATTTTCATCACACAAAATACCTTGTTTAAGGTATTTTAAATACCTTGATAAAGCTATATAGCTTTAACAAGCTATATACCTTTATCAAGGTATTGTGCTGGACCTGATAAACTGCTATGCATTGATGTCGAAAACTTTTTTATGGTTGTCATTCTATAATTTATTGCCATTTTTCCACAAAAAAAAAAACAATACAAGAAGAGACAAGAATATATTTGAAAAACTACGAGCATTGGAAGAAAACTAACAAAGATTATGATCGAGTATTTTCTTGAATGTTTACAGTTTTCTTTTTAATCATATAACCAGGTATAATAAAAGAACTTGCAATCATTTTTTTATACAATTTTCAATTGTATTAATAGCAAAAAAAGTAATAAAATCGCCTTTTCTATTTCATTGAAATGAAGCCAAAATTAAAAAATATTCCTTAAACAGTCGTAAATTCAGGGTTGGCAAAGTGGGATTTTTTCCAGATAATTCGTGAATGTTTAAATTTTAACTGATACCTTTTAAATTTTACGATCGTATTGCGCTTAGTTGAACTTGGTCAGCTGTTGTTACTATCTTGAGTGTGTTTTAAATAAATTAACAAATACAAATTCATCTAAAATTCTTTTAGTTATAATAATATTATGTGATTAAAAAAAAATTCTCAGAAAATATGAATTGCTCATTGATTCTATATGAATAGTACGAAAGTATGAATTGAATGGCCAATTCATTCTTTCCTTTATGTTTAACGTATTTTAAATTGACATCCAAATTTTCTTTAAAAAATTTAATTATTCCAAAGTTAGATACATGTCTATATGAATATTATAATCCTTTCACATACTAAAGTATGAGAATACGTTTCAGTCAAACGTGTTTCAAAATTAGTAGTTTTAGGATTTTCCATATAAAAATCGAGTTTTCTAAACACGATTTATATATAGATCAGTGTGAAATGCTTAAGCATGAATCGGGATATTATTTAGAAAATTTCAGAAAAATAAAATTTTCTTCAAATCTGAGTACCAGCCCGGCAATTTAACCTTTCACTGTTGTAAATGCATGTTCACTGCAAGTCATCTCCCTTATCAATACTTTTTTCTTTTAGTATAGTCATGTCTTCTCCAAACAAATGGTTTTTTCAGAAAAAATCAAAAAATTAAAACCTTTCCTTCCCATCTACAACATAGTAATTTGGAGTTTGAAAGCTACCTCTTTTCCTGTTCAATATCTAATTACCATTCCCCTAAAAATAATAATAATAATATTCTGTCTTTAATAGAAAAATGTTACATTCCACTGTTTATTCTTTTACACAGATGGAGCCAAAGAGATGACATTTAAGGCTTTCTGGAAAGCCAAACTTGTATAAACTAATGTATAAGGAAATTATCGGAAGCGATGGAAAAAAAGAAAACGGGGAAATTACAACAATTATAGGTTCGAGCAAAAGTGGCCAAGTATGGTGTTGAGTGGTATTGCCAATGCCGCAACAAAATTTACAAAGGAACTCTGGAGTTCTGTTAAGAAGAGTACTGTTCGAAGCATAAAATGTTTTTATTATTGTTGCGATTATGTCTATTTTTAAGGGTATTACCACAAACAATATATTTTTTTTGACTGATTTTGATTTGTAAAGACATAAAAATTAAATCCCTGAAATATAAAGAAATCGTAAGTTTTCCTTTGTGCTTAGATTTGAGATTTAATTTTGTCTCTTATATAATTCCATACAAAACTTTGCATATTTTTTAACTCGATTACAAAATCTTAAAAAATTCCCCCACTCTACTTGGTAAACATTATTCAGGTTGTAAATATTAATGTAAATCTATGAAAAATAATGCAGATTTCTGAAAAAAAAAATTAGTTTGTGTTATTTGTCCTTAAGCGGTTAGCATGATGTCTACCTCTGTCTGCAGCCGATTATTCTGGGTAGAGGTATTGCATCTTTGTTGCAATCTGGAAACCATTCTCTTCATCTCCACTGCTAAGAGGGGGCCTAGAACAAATTATCTCCCCGTGAACAGTTTGAATTGTTTACAGAAAAACCATTTGATTCAGAATGTGTTCATAGAAAGTGAAAAAAGACTAATTTTCTTTTCAGGGCATTTGGTTTGAAGTCGTACATCATGCTGTAAATGAGCATGAATGGATTTTGCCGTATAGAGCAGGAGAGAGAAGTTCATGTCAGTATGGTCCATTAACAGAGGAAAGAGATAAAGATTGGCTTGAGGCAGGGTCCCCAGCACATGTTACCGTGCGTGCAATTGTCAGTCAAAAGGCTAATAAAGAAGATTCCTTACTACCTTAATTGCCTGTATACACAAAATTTATGGTATTACTCTCATATTTCAAAATATTTTTTCTATTTATGCATATCCAATTACGATGTACATATATAATTTTTGTATTATGAAATGAAAACATAAAAGTGATACCGGTATATATAATGGCTTTTTAAATTATTACCCGGTAGATTAAATTTTTTCAGAAACATTTCACCATGTATTAATGTATATTTGTTTTGGAGAACTCTAATCTAATTTTGAAGTAATCATTAAAGTGGCATTCTAACACACCTCCATTCTACAGAGCCAGGAATTTTGTGGCTGCACTGGACCACAATACAAATCGTGAAAGAGAGACTGCCAAAAGAAAAGATGGATCACTAAGGGTTCTTTTTGTTTCATTTATTTATTTTATAAGTTAAAATCTGCAATATTCATGTTACATTATATGCGATAGATCTTTTTCATTAAATAAAAATAATCTTGGACATAATTTTTATAAAGATTAAAAGTCTTCAGCATAATTTTTATTCGACTATTAGTGTGCCTTTCATAAAACAGAAAGGAGATGGGTGAACTTAGCGTGCAGAAAGCCCAATAGCTTCGGATCACAGGCCTTTCGATCGCTTAAAAACAAATTGTGTGTGTAAAAAAAAAAAGGTACTGAACTCTTACACTGGGTACCTAATTTCGCTAATAAAATATTTTTTATTCGAATGCTCAAAAATTCTACTTTTTATTTAAATCTTTTCTTAGTAAAACATTCTTCAATTCCACCAAAGCTAATTCCGAAATTCCATATATTTCTTGAGATATTCCGAAATCAATTTCAACAAGAGGTCCACGGGCCTTATAGGTCACCTGTGCATCATGCAATAACTTTCAAATGATTGAATTTGTTTCATGCTTTAAGCTAGATGCTAAGGCATTCACAATTTTGGAAGAGGCACTCTTGCTCAACATAACTATATACTTAGTAAGTTTATTTAAAACCTAGGAGAAGATTTTCAAAGATTTAATGCATTTTCACTATATAATCAATAAAGCCCCGCCCTAACACCAGAACCGTGACCCTGGGGCCATTAAATTCACAATTTTGGTAGAGGCACTCTTGCTCATTATAACTATGTACTTATAAGTTAGTTTATTTAAAACCTAGGAGCAGAGAAGATTTTCAGAGATATAATGCAATTTCACTTTATAATCAATAGAGCCCCACCCTAACACCAGAACCCCTGACCCTGGGGCCATTAATTTCACAATTTTGGTAGAGGCACTCTTGTTCATCATAACTATTTACTGAATTAGTGTATTTAATACTTAGGAGCAGAGAAGAAGATTTTCAAAGATTTAATATATTTTCATTATATAATTAATATAGAGCTCCTCCCTAACACCAGAACCCTGACCCTGGGGCCATGAATTTCACAATTTTGGTAGAGGCACTCTTGCTCATCATAATTATTTACTGAATTAGTGTTTTTTATACCTAGGAGCAGAGAAGAAGATTTTCAAAGATTTAATATATTTTCATTATATAATCAATATAGAGCTCCGCCCTAACACCAGAACCCCTGACCCTGGGGCCATAAAATTCACAATTTATGAAGAGCCTTTCTTGCTCATCATAAATATGTGCTTAATTAGTTTCTTTAATACTCAGGAACAGAGTAGAAGATTTTCAAAGAAATAATGCATTTTCACTTTATAATCAATAAAGCCCCACCCTAACACCAGAACCCCTGACCCTGGGGCCATAAAATTCACAATTTATGAAGAGCCACTCTTGCTCATCATTACTATGAACTTAATTTGTTTATTTAATACCCAGGAGCAGAGAAGAAGATTTTTAAAGACTTACTGTATTTTCACTATATAATCAATAGAGCCCCGCCCTAACACCAGAACCCCTGACCCTGGGGCCATGAATTTCACAATTTTGGTAGAGGACTCAATGCTGATTACAATCATACCAACAGTGTGACTGCTTGATGTCCGGGAGTAAAGAAGAAGATTTTTAAAGATTGCACTATTTTTAGTGGTTTTTGCCCCACCCCCCAGGCCCCAGGGGGGCGGGGACCACGAAATTGACAATTTTTGTTCCCCTTCACCCATAGATGCTATATGCCAAATTTGGTTGAAATTGGTTCAGTGGTTTCAGAGAAGAA